AGAAAAGAGAGAGAGAGAGAGAGAGAGAGAGGGGGGGAGTAGAAAGAGGGCAAACTACGAAACTGAAATAGGAAAAAGCCGAGAAGGCCGTGATAAGCGCACCATCTCAACGTTTCGTCGCACCCGCCCGTCTCCTGTTCTGGTTCTCCCGTGAGAGCGGCTCTGCGCTGGCGACTGGTGAGCACAGCCTCGCCCCTCAGTCTGGCTTGTGCCGCCGTGCAAAGTACACGCATTGTAAACCGCTCTCTACCACGTACCACTTTGGATAACAATTGCTGTGTTGTGTTTTAAAGCCAAATCCTGCCATGCTAATGAAGAACATCACGATCTCAAATGACGGGGATGCGCCCCCTGAGGGTAATAGTGACAATCTGATCCCCAGTGACTGTCCGGATGATTTTAGCAACTTCTTCCGGAGCCAATCGCCATCGACAGCCAACGACGGCTTCCATCACCACGCCGATAATTCACGCCTTAACAATTTAGAAGGGCGTACCGCCGCACTGCTCCACAGGTGCCCTTTCAAGAACTGCTGTCACTCCGTCGCCACCCAAACGTCCATCCATTCCACCCTCCCGCCCGCCGCTCCCGAGATGACCGCTCACTACACTCCGACGCGGTCCATCACTACCACCGCCGCCGACACCTGCCATCGCCTCCGCTCGCCGCTGGTGTCGCGGCCGCGTGAGTCCGCTTTGTCGAAGGAGGACATCAGGATCGTGGCGTCCCGTCTGCTGGCGCAAGGCTTCCCCGCCGAGGCGCTCGGGACGGCGGCTCAACAGCAGTTTTCCCAGTGCCAGGCGGACATTAGGAAAGCTGCTGTTGAATGCATGTAAGTTCCCATCACTGCCTGTGCTGTTTCCTCACTTACTCTATCTATCCTCATTCTTTAAGGTTCCATTAATAAATCTGAAACAATAATACTCGAGAGGAAGAAAACATGATAGCGTTCTTAAACTCTACATTATTATGTAATTCCTTTACTCTCGTCTTCAGGTTAGCTCAACTAAACCTCGACGCGAAGACGAACTCCAGTACTGTCAATGAAATTCAAAAACGCCTTAGGAGGTTAGAGCATCAGGTCTTCTGCGAAGCTAAGTCAGGGGTAAGACAATATTACTTCCATCACGCTGTAAATAAATCTATAAATTCATAATTAAAGATAAATGATTGAAAAATGTTTGTGCGCGCGCGCGTACATATATAAATATATATATATATATATATNTGTGTGTGTGTGTGTGAGTATATATATAATATATAAAATATATATACATACATACATACATACGTAGTAGATCGGTGTCTGATCTCTTTCGGGGGTGACTGTAGTGGGTTTGACTACCCACTGTTAAAGCTGTGTAAGCCAGATATGCGTGGCTTATCCCTTATTTTCGATATGCCATTAGTCTCCGGAGTAGTACAGTGGTACAGTGTTAACGTATCAGCCTCTCATCCGAGGTTTCGGCGGTTCGCGTCCCGCCCAAACCGGTGGTTGTGCTACGGCACAACGGTGGTAAGAACTAAACTCTGACCCACATTGATCGAGTCGGCATTAGTCGACACAGGCCGGGCTCCCCTCATAGGCATAGGCTCTGCTCAGCTTTGCATGGCGGACTTATCCCTTGTCCTTAAAATAATCCATGGCGTTTCACTGCGGGGTTAGCAGTGTAATAGATGAGGTGCATCTACTACTTGACTGTTCTAAGTACTCTTTGGGGAGTGTTTCTAGAGGGCTTGAGTGCCCAATGTTGACTGGATGCTGTAGGTGGAGTGGAGATCAAATCAACGGAGGAACTGGAAAGGCTCCCCGTCTTCGAAAGAATGGACCGTCTTGTATTGTTGCTGCTTGCTGAGTTGCGGCTGGGGAATCGAGAGTTAATGATATCGGTTCATTGTGATTTGCGAAGGCAAGCCTAGGCTTCAGGATCGCTTCCGGATCCTGAAGCTACACGGGGGTCTGTATAAGCGAACTAGGAACGAGGGGAGCCAGCGGTCCAACCAGTAAGCCGTGAGGTGTACGTGTCAACCAGTTAGGTCTCGGCAGTGGGCCGCGAGAAGCGACTGCTGGTGAAAAAGCGAGGACGAGGCTGTTGGACCTGATGTGACATTAATATGTGATGTTAATATACATATACACTTAAATACATAAAAATACACATACATTTCTTAACAGGATATGAGTGCGTGTATGTCTTGAGTGTTTGTGCTTGGATGTGTGCGCGTATGCGTGTTGGCAATCGAGAACGCGTAAGAGGAAAATAAGAGAAAAACTCGAGAGCCAGTGGCCCTCATCGCTTCTCTCCCTAACCGCAGTTCCCTCCTTTCCTCCAACAGCTGGAATACTTCATTCTCATCGCCACCAAGTTGGCAGACGTCTTCTACGAGCTGCAGAAGGCTCGTAGTACTCGATCTGCCCCTGTCCAGTCTGCACCGTTTCTGTCAAGAAGTGGCGCCTGTCCTACGCGCCCTCCTCTCGCCCAGCCGCTCTTGCCCGCCACCCCTCCCAGCACGCCCTTGTCCTTGCCAGAGATCTACATACAGCGAAAATTGTGCACCGACGCGTGCTCGCAAGTGCTGCTGCGACACAAAGACACCATTTCGCCGACGCTCAGCTAGCTTACCAAGGATCGGAAGGTCGGACCGACCAGCGGAATCCTAGCGATCAATCCGGCTACTCAGGGACCTGGAGTGGCCCATTGTGGTCAGTCAGGACCAGGCAACTCCAGACTTAATACTCAGGAATCGAGTGATAGACTTTCGCCCCGGCCTCGCCCAGCCTCCTTCGGATAGCCTCCACCACGGAGCTCGAAGGAAACGCCGACAGGCATCCCCCGCCCGAGAGTACCCACGCACAACCTGACCAGAAGAACTGTCCGTGCGGCTGCCACGCCTCTTCTCGAGATCGACGACAGCATCTTCATCCTAGACGACACTGAGCAAGCGCTGTGCGAGGAAAATGAGGAGCGAAGGGGTGAGGAAGGAGGAAGGGCAGGGCGACACGCAGACGCCGAGGAGTGACGCAGTAACCTTGGGTGGCAGTGCACGGGGGCCACGGCTGATACGAGTCGCCCGTGATAATGATTCGTGCTCTAGTGATAGCAGGTGTCCCGAAAAAGGGATTCGAACCTACTGCCATCCTCTTGACTGTTGTGCTGGAGATTCAAGTCATTACTGGCGCTGACTAAGAATCATCGTTCAATCAGCTTGTGCATGAGAATGCATACTGTATTCTAAGTCTACCTCTGTCTCGGAATATCTTATATATATATTCACCTCTCAACTTATTTTTGTATAGAATAGTACACAGACTGTGATAGATTTTTTAAACATATCTATTAAACAATATATAACATGTGTATATCTGTAAATATATATACATATATATATACATATATACATAATACATATGTGTAATATATGTACATATGCATGTAATATATTTTTATTTATACATAAGCACACTATCGCTACACGGTTTGGCCCAACGGAAAAAAATATTATTTCCGCGACCTTTGAACCTAAGAGTGAAGTTGAACTTTGTAAAAATGTTAAGATAACGATAATAACGACTACCATAATTATAATAAAAACATATTTTCGAAAACCAAATTATCATTCCCCTTATACATTTAACTCCCGATGATAATGGCGACGATGATTCCCACCTTTTCCATCTTTCTTTATCACTTTCTCCCGCGCCTTTTACTTTATCCCTTTCCTATCTCTAAATTATTCTCCCCTTCTCATATTTTCTATCTGTCTGTCTGTCTCTCGATTACTCATTCTCCCTTCTTATATTCCCTCACCCATTCCCTCTTCCCCTCTCTCTATCTCTCTC